CATTTTGTAACCAATGGAAAAATATCAAATTCACGTATTTGCATGCTCGCCTTCGATATTTCTTTTTGTGCTCTTTGATTTGGTGAATCGCACTGATGAGGGTCATGCTGCGTGTGTGGCGTGGCGTTTCTGTGAAATTCCACACGACCCGAATATTTGTCAAACAAATTGGTTGGACATTATTGAACATAGTTTATACACATACACATAAAAGCATACCACGGGTTTGTAAATTGGATCTGCTTTATCTACATATTTTTTTTGTAATTTTTTGCTAATTTTAACAAGACTACAAACAGCAAAACTAACAAACAATAATCTTTTTTGATGCCACATGCAACATGTGTGTGTTTGCTCTTTGAATTCGAATTACTGCATTTGCAGATTGTAATGCGCTTTAAATTGAATTTGCATATGTGAGGCAAATGTGCAGGTAAAGCGTCGATAAAATTGAATTTAAACAGCCGAAATGCACACATATGTATAGACAGATGTGCATATACTTTTCAATATCACTGTTGCTGTTGTTGTGGTTGGTGTTGTTGCCAAATGCTCTATTTAACGATGCCCAAATTGAATTTGAATATCTGGCAGAAATGCGAATAAACGTATTCAATGCGATTCCAACTAATTTCGTTCTAATGTTTATTTAGAATATCAAATATTGAGAGATTTTTGGTGGAAAATTATTTTATTGGCCAACTAAATGTTTTATATTAAACAGTTGGAATTAAATGCCAAAACTGAGCTAATAATTCATAGTTTGAATAGATTTATATGATATGAATGTGTGGCTGATATTTATCTATTATATTAATTTTGAAATATTTTTGTCTTTTATTGAATTTAACTTTAGCTAATTTCTCGCTTGCTTACACTTTCATTTGACTTTAATTTTCCCTCAATGTCATTTGAATAAATCACCCCAATCTTTGACCTAAATTGACAACATAAATAGATTCGCTTAGACTTGACGCTGCGCTGCAATTTTTAATTAATTGAAATTGAAATTTAGCTCAAACAATTAAATGCGTTTACATTGAAGTAGCAAGCGAAAGAATGTACTCAACTGACAGTCAAGGCAACATTTTGCTCTTACTTTCCGCACGCCACAGTCTTTGTTTGGGAAGTGCAATTAAAGTGACTTTCAGTGCGAGCCAACGACTTTATTATCCAAAGTTACGGTGCCATTCGCGGCGGCAAGTAAACACAGAGAGCTGGGTAATCTTGTTACGCTATTATATAGCCTCGCTAGCTGCCCATAATGATGATGTGCAGTTTTGCCACGGTTTTCACTTTCACGAGCTAGCGCAAATACGCATAACATAAAGACGGCACTCATACGCCTCGTGGTACGACACATTAACTGCCAGCGGCAAGGGTGAAGCGTCAGGGGCACGTGTGTGCATATTTTTAATTATGCGGCCACACCGTGATAACTAGCCGTGAACAAAGTTATTAAAAACAACTCGGCTGCAGTGTAAATATTGGGCGAACAAAGCGAGATCTGTGGCAACAACAATGGCTTTGCATCTAATCTCTGGCTGACCATCTTTTGATGGTCGAGTTGCTCAGGCAAATTGCCAGGCGATTTGCATGGCGATAGGCAGCAGGATTCAAGGACTCAACGACTAGTATTGTATTAAAAAATAGAAAAAAAAACACGCAGCAAAAAAAACCAAGAGAAAAGGAAAAAATGATAGCAAAGAACACGAGTTGTAATGCTTTGTAAAGACTCCACAAATCCTTTATGTAATCCGGCTTTGTGTCCAGCTCGCTGATAACCTAAAAGTGTGCAAAGCCGAAGAAATGCTAGCGAACATCAACTACATCAACTATATACATACATACACGAAATTAAGGTCGCGGCGCATCATCGAAAGTTAGAAAATTGCTTAATTTTCGCAGCAGGACAAACGGACAGACGAATACAGACAGACACTAAAATGAAATAAACCTGAATATAAATCGTTCGAGCACAGTCGGAGCCCAGAGAAAATCATTATATGGCTCATTTGTTTGCGCCTCTTCAAGAGCTGCTTATTATATTCTGATTATTTTTGGCACGCGTGTTGCCCCAAAACAGCGAACAATGAGGGAGAAGGATGGGCGATGACAGCCCAGTAGATACCCTGTAAACATGTATGTATTTTATATAAATAATTTCTCTGTCCTTTTTATATGGGGCTTAGAATCAATCAAAAAACATGTATGCAAAATCATAACTAGTTTAGTCAATGAATAATATAAAATAAATATTTAATAAATTATTCGGGCAATTTAATAATCTTTTAATCAATTACTCAAATTATTCATATATATTTCCCATCAATAAAAACTTTTATCTGATTTTTTTATATATAATTTTAATCAATCATGAATCTATTTTGAATAATTAGTGCATACAAATTTTATTTTTTAACTGAACACTCGATCAATCAGTCCATCATTATATACATATATATTAAAGAAACCTATCCTTTGCTCTAATCTACCTTAGCTCACTCTCATTTTACCCCTAAACACTTACAGGGTATCACTAAAATACAACAAGATAGCATTTTCAACAGAATTTCGCCCCGTTGTCCAGTGGCTCGTTGTAAACAAATTCATAAATATACATACATACCTAACACAAGGCTCTGTTCAAGCCTAAAGAATGGTCTTTGGCCTGCTTTTCGCATAATTTTTTCATTTCGTTTTCTATGTGCGTGTGTGTGTGTGTGTGTATGTTTCTTGACGGTGGCAACGCTCGTTTGGCCTGCTTTGTCCATAATGAGATATCTCTATTTCTCTTTTGTTTCATTTTACTTTTGTATATTTTTTTTGGTATTCTTTTTTTTTTTTCTTCAGCTCAACTGCTCGTCGTCTTTCTTATTATTGTGTGTGTATGTGTGTTGTTTTTGCATTCAGTAAATGCCTTTGGGAAATTCGTGCAGCAAAAAATCTTTGGGCTCAAACAGCAATGATGCCGTCAACGTGGCCTTATTAATTAGAACACGCGCCCCACAGTTGGTTTCGTTTTCTTCTTTTATTTCAGTTTTTTTTTGCCATTTTTTGCTCTCCGCCAGATCGACACTTAATGCAATCTCAACCAACATTCCCCCATTGCCGGTGCTCCACACAGTTTTAGGTAATTTAAATTCATTGCAATTTTCGGACGGTCGAGCGTCATTTGCATATGAATGAAAAGAGTTGATGCCTAGCCAAACGAGAGCCACAACAAAAAACAAAAGGACACCGTTAAGTGAAAAGTCAAGCTAAGTGTCATTCATGGCCATCATATTTAATAATAAAAGCGTTTATATATTTAATCAACAACAAAAAATAAGAAGTGCAGGATATATACATACATATGACATATGTACATGTATGTATATTACATTACATATATTACATTCCACCAGATCTAAAGCTTGGAAAACTATATAAGATTTGAAATGCATTATTGTCATTGTCATTGTCATTGTCATTGTCATTGTCATTGTCATTGTCATTG